AAACTTGGGCTTTCTTACTATCCAATATTTTGCAACAATCAATTCTTGGACTGGAGTTTTAGACAAAAAAATTACAGTTTTCTGGTGAGATATATTAAATTAAACACTAGCAATGCTTAAGGGAATTCATAATTCCACCCACATGTTTTGTTTGAGAAGTTCATGTACAAAGCTTAAGCAGCCTGAGATGCTAAGATGCTGTAGAGAAATCACTAGGAAATTACCTAATTAAAAACTTCAAATGAATATACTGGAGAAAATAAAAATTTTATTTTAGAAATTTGAGTATGCTTTTTTCTCAGGAATATTATTCCAAAATGTTAATTAACACTTTTCTTTCAGTAAAACTTTGCAGATATGCTGTTACTTTTCACTAATGTTAGGTAGGTAGGGAGACCATTAACTTTTCCAGTCACTTAGAAACTCTTTAGAGTCTGGAACATGCTGAAGAATAATTTCCAGTACATTTTTCTAGTTCATGATCTGCCTAACAGTAATGTACAAAACATCAAAATGCTGTCGGGAAAAGATTCCTCACACTCTTACATGATTTTAATGACCTCCAATCAGAGCACAATTTTCAATTGGAATCATGTAATCCTATGCAAGAAATCTTGTTTTTTTCCATTAAAGAGAATGATGAACGTACATATCATTCATGGTTCATAGTGCTAGGCAAGCAACTATTTTCTAAATAAATAAACTTACTCACATTTATAACTCATTACTTTGGCATAATAATAATTTACCTGCTCCTATCTCACTGTTAAAGTATATAACTTTTGTTTTTATACTATAGGACAATCAAAAATATATTTAGGAAAAGCAAAAGAAATGAACCATTTTAAAAGTTAACTCCAGTGTTAAGTCATTTATTACTTTGATTTCTGGACTTTTTGTGAATTGTATATATGAAGATATTATATTCAAAATATTTTTAAAATAAGTTCTGAAGTTTTATTTATAAAAATATTTTTCTTATTATTTCTCTCTTTTGATTTCTCATTCTGTTGATCATGTGTCTATTTACAATGTAAACGTGAGCTATATTCCAAAGGTAAATATGCTTAGTTGCTGAGAAGTACTCAGAGAAATGTACTTAGAGCAGGCCTTGAGTAAATACCAGAATCATCGTCAAACTAGAGATTTTGGCTAGTTTGTATTTTTCCTTTATATAAATTTTTCTACTCAGTGTCTTTTTATTCACTGACCTGCTTTTTAGGCACTGCTATGTGCTAAGCACATTACTGGGTATTTTAAGTCTTATTTCTCTTACTCCTCACAATAATCCTTAAAATGGGATTTATCCTTATCTTGATGGTTTGAAAACTAAACCTGAGTTTAAATTAAATCTCTGTCTCTTAGGTGCTAAGAGAACCTACAAAGATAAGGAAGATATCCTGAACTTTAGGAGCTTTTATTCTTATAGAGAGGTAGAAAATTAAACATTAACACAGATACATACACGCACACACCTATAACAAGAGATATTGTTTGATGAATATAAAAGACATAAAACTATAATGCACGGAATCATATCTTTTCTTAAATTTTGCATATCCAAAATTTTAGCTCAGCAAACTAGATTATCTGAGAGGTCTTAGCCAAAGACATGTGCAATGTACACCATGGGTGTTTAAAAAAAAACAACAAACAAAAAAAGTAAATTCTTAAGCCTTAGGCTAACCTGTATGCACTTATGAATCATAGCCACAGGATCAAAAGTTACAACTACCTAAAAAGACAAAGGCCAGAGTAGCAAAGTTGGATCCTAACTACAGAAATTCTAAAGTCAAGTCAGCAGTTAGGATTCAGAACAAATCGAACAAGAATCAGTTGGGAGACATGAGATGCACAGGTACCAGGTGGCTTTGGATATCAGGATAAAGTAGCAGAGAGAAAAATGTGAAACAGAACATCTGTTCCATTAAGAATTGTAATATATTTCCTGTGAGATAGAGCTCGTCCTCATCCTGTTGTTGGGAATAAGTAATTCCCTATAAGGTGATGGGATATGGATGAATTTGACCAGATGGGGAAGGTGAGGCCTGAGGACATACTGGGAGTTAGTCAGAAAGTTTGGTTTAATATTTAAATTTTGCTTTTTAAAAATATCTTCTGAAACAAAGCTACTGGATATATGTAGAAAGTTTTATTTTTATTGTAGTTTAGAGCAGTCTTAAAGAAATATTATTTATTTGTTGTCCCCAATACCTCTTTTGTTAAAGACATTCCTAGAATTTATCTAAAGCCAGTATTTAGCTACTATCTAATCATCAGCATCATCATCATCATCATCATCATTGGTATTTATGAAATACTTGTTATGTGTCAGATATTTTTCTAAATGTTTTGCATACATCTTATTTAATCCTTGCAGCAAGCCTAGGAGAGGGGTATGCTTGTTATTCTTTTTGTAACATATAAAAAATTGGAACCATAGAAACTATTATCCCAGGATCACACACCTAATGATTTATTATCCCAGGATCACACACCTAATGATTTATGTAGCCAGAATTCAGACCACTGATTCAGTCTTAGTCCAGAGCATATGCTCATAATGATTATAATACTACTCTTACCACCTCCAAAGTTAAAATTTAGGATTTTTCATTTGAATTTAGATGATATAATAATCCTATGAACAAAAGCAAAGGAAAAATATAATACCAAACTGCTATAAAGAAAAAAAGTGTAATACCTAAACTGTTTATCTATCCAATGTTAAATTATTTTAAAAGATATAATCAGACTGCTTCTCTTTTTTATTATAAATAACAAGAATGAGAATGATAAAGTCCCCCAAATACAGTACAGTATTTATTGAACAGTTTAATAATTTTGAAATTTTTCTTAAACATTTATTTTGCTTATAAATGAAATATCCAAAACCATATAAATAAAATGAAATATTTCCACTTATGTCTCAACTTGAGATCAAATTTACTGTTAATACACTTGGTGAAACAAATACATACACAGTGTGTGTGTGTGTGTGTGTGTGTGTTGTGAGTGTGTAATTTTTTTCAATATTTTAAACTCTTTTAGTTTGAAAAAGGAATATCATAGACTAAATGTTCTCCAAATAAATCCACTGTAAATGAGTAATCTTACTTTTATAAATAATATATAAAGGTACCATTTACATAAATATTTCCTCGAAAATAAGAAACAGCTATTGTTTTGAAAAATTTTATTACAGTATATTCTTTTTGTTAATTGAGAATTTATTCAACAAAGTGGAAAGTTAATGTGGACTAAGGCCAATTTTTTACTTAATTTGGATTTATATTTCTAAATTAAGAATTTGATTATTAAAATCTTATGAAGCCTTAGAAATAATTCCTTTATTTTACATTTGATGTACAGTATCTATTGTTAATTCAAAAATATACAACTGGATACTGGAAGAGCCTCGAGAAGAATACAAAACAGGTCATTTGAATCTGATCTAATGTTTATACTCTTCCCTAGTAAAATTCGTTATATCTTAGCCATAATGTTTATAACTAGCATTTGCAGTCAATTGTCATTCATACAGACCTGTTTATTGGGTGATGATTGTTCAAGTCACAGTAAATGATTTCTATAAGATAATAATGTTCTAAGGCTTTGTGAACACAATCATTAGAAAAATCTCTTGCAAAATTGACATATATGGATATTTCAGTATTAGGCTCGAAGTGCTCATAATTAAAGAAATGTCTGTTAACAGATATTCTTTTACCCAGTAATAACCATCAGGACAGTAATGATACTGGCTGAATTTTTTAACATTATTTCAGATACCAGACATGTATTACATTTGAACCTTGAACAACACTGGTTTGACTGGGCAGGCCCACTTATATGCAATTTTTTTTCAATAAATACAATAAATGCATTTTTTCTTTCTTATTATTTTTTAAATAACATTTTATTTTCTCTTTATTGTAAGAATACAGTACATCATACAATTAACATACAAAATATGTGTTGATTGTTTACATAATTGAAAGGCTTCCAATAAACAGTAGGCTAATAGTAGTAAAGCTTTGAAGGAGTCAAAAGTTACATGATGATTTTCAATTGCTCGAGGGTGTCAACTCTCCTAACCTCTGTGTTGTTCAAAGGTCGATTGTGTTTCTAATTTTCAAAACAATACTGAAAAGGAGATAGTATTATCCTTATTATTTATAAACAGGTTTTAAAGGTTAAATAATTTGCTCAGTTTTAACCAGCTAGTAAGAGGTTTTCTTACTCCAGGTTTTCCAGACCTAAAGTCTATTATTTTTTTACATCCCAATGTCATTAACATAAAGCATTTATGATGGTTTTTGATTTACCAGAATATTTGAACACCCAGAACACCCTGCACCCTGGCTGTGCCAGATAACTGATTATTTCATTCCAGGAAACTAACTATTATAAATAATAATGACTTTTTCTAGTATTTCTAGGATTCATCAAAATTCCAGTAATCATTCAAAAATTAAACTTTCTCTTTTCTCTTGGCTTTTCTAGAAAAAGTTAGTGTTTTAATAATTAGATTTTGTATTATCTCTAGGTTTTCAATGAAGCATAATGGATTAAAGAGAAAATTGATGGCTACTAAAATTGGTTTTTATAAATTACAATGGCAACTTTATTAAACCATTTTTTTTCAAATTTTAATCAGAAATAAAAATATTCTACTTCCTAATATTAAGCCAATGTTTATTTCCCAGATTTTACCTAAAAGTTCTTCCCTGAGGCCATTGCTGTTGTGAAATTATTTGAATGGCCTTCATTGGGGTGTGGTGAAAATGCTCTAATTGCCCTTGCTAAAAAACAAAGGTTTCACATAAATTGAATTTTTCTTTTAGGATAATTGCCATTCACTTTTGTTTTATGTGCAACTGAGTGGGGGTTTTGCAGTATCCCCTGTGGACAATAAAGTGCTGAAATAGGAGAAGCTAATAATTGCTTTGTGTGGTAATACTGACAACTTCTGCGTATTTGTCAATCTGTGTTAACAGTATCGATCAGGATGGGATCCTCATAGAGGGGCAGATAATATTTCCACTAAATCTTCGGACAGTGATGTAAGTGATGTATCTGCGGTTTCAAGGACTAGTAGTGCTTCTCGTTTCAGCAGCACAAGCTACATGTCTGTCCAATCAGAACGGCCCAGAGGAAACAAGAAAATCAGGTGAGTAAGGGACTTTTGCAGGAAACTCTTCTAAATTTATATTAGAAGGTCTTTATTTTTCATTTGATGAATGTAAAATTCTTTGTTTCTAGAGGTGAATGAATGATTATGTCATTTGGCAATAAGAACTTCTGTACGTATTTATTATGTTTTGGTTTACCTTTCAAACTTCTTGCACAGATGAGTTTTATAGAACTTAAAAAAAATCCTTACTAGATTACTTGAAATAATATCGTTAGTTATTTTTTTAACATTTTCTATTATAAAAAGTAGTTGTTATATATTTATTGAGGCTAAAGTGATGGTTCTGTGAAGGCTTGAATTTTTAATGTTCTAAGGAATGTGGAAAACAATATTTGGGGTTTTCCCTAGCTGAATGTGTTTCAGTGACTCAGGAAACAGAAGAATATTACTTTTTTAGTAGGATGCTCCTTATCTTCCTGAAACTTTTATAAATGCATAGAAGTCGTCAGCTTCTCAAAACTTATGAATGCAATACATATGTTTGTATAATTTGCATTTATCACCTGACCTATAGAGTTTATGGGCACCTGAGCTAAATTATTATTTTTACTTCTTTGTATCACAAAAAAATCTAAAATGAAGAGACCATTACTTTTTTCCCATGCAATTCTATAACAGGAAAATATGATTTAAAGAACAATTATGATGAAGTGTTGCTTACACAAGTGCTTCTCTGGTCTACTGGAAAAAAGTTTCAACATTTAAAAATGTAATTTTTATATATGGTTAGTTGTTTTCATTTCCTTTCTGTTTAATTTTGTATGCATTTTTTCTTACTTTTTTTTCTTTTTTGTGTTTACTTGCATGCCTTCCTTCGATTTGTGTTGCGTTCAAAGGCCAAAGGGAGTAGAAGAGGGAGGGACAGAAGGGAATAAGCATGAAGAGATAGTTCATGAGGTAAAGGAAGAGAGAATAAATGAGAATGAGAAAGGGAAAGAGATTATAAAAACGTCAAATAATGAGAAAAACAGAGAATCAGGAGTCGAGGAAAAAACACAAGATAAACCTGAGCAAGGGAAAGAGAAAGAACAGTGGAATAAAGAGGATTTGCAGAGACGATTCTCACAAGAGGATGACAGGTAAAATATGCTCATTTTTGTAGACATTTCCCGTTAGTAATGTAGTCCTTTTTCCTACCTATGAAAACAATTTTGCTGGTTTATTTTCTTGCTGGTTACCTGTTGGTTTATTGTCTTATGTTTTTCTGTTTGTGTTCTAATACAACTAATTAATGTGTTGGCAAATTATTATCAAATAGTTTGATTTATTTAACAGTCTTTAATATGTATCCACTAGTTCTGAGAGTCTGGTTGCTTTTCAAGTTATTTAGGATGAGCTGAATCAAATTTAAATTTCCTTTTAGTTTTTTTTTTTTCCCCCATTTTAGCATGAATTGCTGTGTATCTTCCCCATTTGTGGAGTCAAAACCTTTGAAATGAAGTTCAGAAAGGGCTGAAAAAATTTAGGCTACTATATAAGAAGTATTACATACAGGAAATGGATTTTTTAATAAGTAGCAAAATAACTAGCAACAAGTAAGCTTTATTCAGTCTCTGGCTCTCTTGCCTCTTAGTTTTCTGGTGGGTTCTGGTGCAGTTTTGAGTCCCGAGGAAGACTGCAGAGTAGAACAGCTGAAAAGAAAGGGTCGATGCTCCAGGCAGACATATTGGGTTAGGGCCCTCTCAAAATTCATTCAGCTAAGAAAACGCCATTTGAACAGGGGATAATGACAGGGAAAAAAACACAATTATGCTTTCACTTTCATAACACAAGGCACTAAGTGCGAAGCTGTCTTTACAGTGCTATACTGAATGTCAGATCAGGTTGAGTACGCAGAAAGACTTCAACCTTCTGCCTGAGGATGAGGTTTCTCTAATTACATTTATCTGAGACTGAGGATTGCAAATCATGTACATTTTGAAGGAACTGGGGTTTCTAGTCTTCAATCTAGAATTTGGTTTTGTGTTAGTACAAAGTCTGTTTGATAAGCACACCCTATTATAAGCCAGATTTTGCAATTAATATATCTAAACCCAATCTTAGCATGTGCTTTACTCATAATTAATGAGAAAGATAATCGGGACAGCTTTTTATCCCTTGGGTATACAATTTAGTTGTTTAGTCTGTGATACTTTACATTTTGTCTCAGCTTGGTATATATGACTATTCCTGCTTTATGAAAGTTTCTGTGTAATTGACATCACACCTAATAATGAATATTAAGTTATACATAGTTTATGATTTGAGTCTAAACTATTAATTTCAGGTTTTTTATCTAATTTTTGATAATTACATTAGTTTATTTATAAAGATCATTTTTTCTGATTTGTTGAGCATAGGATCATTTTGTCACTCATTCACAGAGAAAAGCTTTCCAATTTGTTTTTGGAAAGAGAATTTTCTTTCAAAAACAAAGCAAAACGTGAGTCTTCAGTGTTTTTTGTTTTTGTTTTTATAAATGAAAACACGAGTCCCATTGATGTTTTTCTAGAGCCAGAGTTTATTCTGGCATACCTTGCTTGGACAGAAGTTTAGGGAAGATTAAAACCTTAAGTTCCCAATTTTTAATATTACTTTCTTTCATCATGTTCTTCGGGAAGGAAGCACATTATTTTAAAGAAAAAAAGGGAAAGATGGTATATTCCTAGCAATCCGAGTCATCAAGGCATTATATTCAGCTTAAGTAACTATAGAATATTTCTGCAACAGTAAACTGAAGAATGCCAGGCTGATCTCTCCAGAGAACATATATTCCATAAGATGGCAAGAGTGTCAACTGCAATTTTTGTAAGAAAATGGTGGTGTTACTAATTAGTTTTTGTAACATGGGATCTTAAATTTGCTTTCATTTCTTAGAATAAAACTAATAAGATTTATTCTGAGAGAAAATATGTCAGAGTACTCCCAATGTCACTTTGCTTTGATAGTTGATAGAAACAATCGTATGTTGTTTAAATACTAAAAACAACTTTTGTGCTTATGCAACATTATTGGAAATAATTATGTTCTATAATACACCATTGACACTTTATGCTTTTTACTTCTAATCCAAGTTTTTATAAAGAAAAAAATTTTCTGACTTCAGAGTTTAAGTATTTATAGTACTGTTACTAATTAAAGTTAATATAGTGACTACAATGAACAAAATTGATTATAGTTGCTGTTTTCATTATAGTGGTCAGATGTCATTTTGTCATACACAATTATGTTTTTTGTATTATATTAAGTCAAATTAACATACGTCTTCTGAATGTACAAGTAGAAAATGAATAGCAAAAGATAGATTCAGGAAAATTCATTAAATACTTGAGTATAACATTTTTTTCTAAGTTGATAATAATATATTTATATTTAGCTATTTATATTTATATGCTTGTATATAGGACTAGTAAAATGCCTCTCTCATTAATGATGATATGGTGAACTCTAGAAAATCTGAAATTATATTTGCAATTTGAATTATTTTTCTCACTCTGTGTATGTCTGTATTTTAAATTTTATATCTATTTACATTGGCTGATTATATACCAAATAACAAAGCTGGCCCAGAAAAAAAAGGTGTTAAGACAAGAAAAATCATTCATTTAACCAATATTTATTTAGAAAACTTTTCATGCTTGTACTTAAAATTAGAAATGGAAATGAAATATTTTCATACTTTTAAGCCTGACAGTGAAGCAGTTTCTTAGCCTTGGTGGATGTTTAAGGGTAGCGCCATATCCCAAAAATGTCATCAAGATACCTAAACAAATTCACAAGGATATTGACAAAAGAATGTGGCAATGAAAGGGAGGATCTTAAATCTGCCATGGAAGATAGAAAAAAAAATACTGAAAAGTATAGCATTGTCAAAACTAGCAATGTTGGTAGCTTTGTCATCAAACTAGACTCTCATTCATTCTTCCAGGCTCTGTTCTGGAGACATAAGACAAAAGAAAAAAAATTCAAGAGACTCGTTCTCTATAAATTTTTAGTTCTAAGGCATTTCTGTAAATGTTATGGAATTACAACTTATCTTTAGGAAGAGATTGTCCTTGAGATAGGGAAATTTTTTAATAGCATCAGTTCAAATTTTCAAGAATAGCTATTTTTAAGAGACTTAAACCATTTAAATTATCTAGCAAAAAGTTTTTATCTTTAGAAGAGCAAAATAATTGTTTATAAAATATTTATTGCTGTTAACATAATAAGTTTAGAAAATACATGTTCATTGACTATGTAATAGAACTTGATATGTATGCCTATGTTATACCATTAAAGGGAAGCAGTGTGTCTCATGAAAGTAATTGTGGATTAGGAATCTAAGATATCTGAATTCTCATCTTAACTCTGTCTCATCTTAACTCTGTACCTACCCACTCTATCTGCCTAGGCTTTTTTTGCTTGTCAAATAGAGGACTTGATGATTCATACGCTCTTCCATAGTTTAGATGGATGTAGAACACAGAAAACAGGAAAGCCAGCATCTTCTGTTATACTGATGATTATTATCATGGACTCAAGAGATATTTGGTTCTGTGACAAACCAGATTAGTAGAACAAATCATTCAACATAAGTTTCTATTATTTGGCAGATGTTTTTAAGTTTTAAGCAGCCAATATTTAATACTTTGTTGATCAAGTTGAGTGTTTTTTGGTTTTCTGGAAGTACTGTTCAGTGCTAGCTCATCCCAGAGGGCACACTGATAGACTCTGCTCTTCTGCCGGTGCATTACTGATGGCTTGTGTTTTCTTTGTTGTGGTGGTTTTTTTCTTTTGCATTGAGGCTGTCTTCTAGTTAATACTACTGAAAATCTTAGCAAATAACTTCTCCTCTGTTTTATGACTGTATAGAAAATGGGAACTTTTAAACAATACTTGAACATCACTCTTAGATTTGTGATTCTGCAAGTTTTGGATGGAGCCCAGAAATTTACATTTTTAAAACAAAAATCCCAGGGGATTTTGGTGCAGGTAGTTAATGATGCTATCCAATC